ACTCAAAGACAAACACAGTTTTTGTTTAATTTGATCAGAGTTAGTGATCACAACTTTTAACTGTTTACCTACTTTATACACGCTTAGAGTAGTCAAGGAAAATTAGGAAAGTGCCAAGGCCGCGTGCCCATAGAGTAGTGACTGACGGCGCCAAAAAATATTAGGGGCGTCTGTGAGCCTGCGAGGTGCTTGCCTAGAGCGCGGTCTAGGTTTAATCTACCTCTGCACACACTAATATTCCAAACTAATAGCCTGTTTATAATGAAAGTTTTTCGTTACCTACATCTAATAAGCCTGGGCAAAATATAGGGTACCTACCTATAATAATTTGTTAGCACCCAAGTCAAAAGTAAATCTGCCTAAAGTACTTAACTATTCTATGGACGAAACTGTGGGCAAAAACCATGCAAAATCTAATGAAGGGAGGAATAAAATCTGTTAGTAAAGTTTTTTTTTCTTTTATCTAATTATCTATTTTATTATAACGGCTTTTAACCAATAGGCTACATCAGCCCCATCGTAGCCCAATCAAGAAATATCAAATACCAGCGGGTCATCACTGTTGCAACATCCTTACAATAGATCGTGCTGCATTGCTTAAAGGTGCTGACAAAATACTAGGAAAGATCCCAAATCATATTTTTTTATATTACAATGTCGCATTAGTGAGTCCCTCGCCACCTTAAATTTAACACACTCCACCAGCATATGATAAACATCATCCAACTTGCTACACACTTAACAGTTAGGTGAATTTACTTTTTTCATTAGAAATGCGAAACTTTTTGTGGGATAATGTCCAGCTCGCAGTCGAAGTAATGTTACAATATCTATCCTATTTAATTTACATTGAGCATAAAACCATGGAACATGAGGGGGTTGACATTGGAGAGTTTTAAACCAGATACCTTTTTCCCTGCTTCTTTCATCAAAATATTCTTTGAAACTCATATAGCTTTTGGTTTTAAATTTTGGTAATACTTCAGTATAAATTCTGTAGTCGCTTATTTGGCCTATTGGCCTTATTAGTCAGCCTCCTCATTTCCTTTTAATCCCATATGAGAAGGCACCCATTGCAATCTCAGAATGACATCTCTAGTACTTAATTCATAAAATAATTTTAGGATCATGTAGGCTATCGGTATACCTCTGCTATACCCAGAGGCACATCGAGGCAAATGTTGCAAGGCGCTCTTGCTATCGGATATGATAACATTTTTTTTAAATTCATATTTATAATACACTTGACAACCTCCGAGATAGCTACCAGCTCCAAAGTCATTATTGATACATCAACGTCTATTTTGAACATGGCTAAGCTACCCAACCGTTGATCATAATATGCAGCGCCTAAACCAGAATTACATTTTGAGCCATCAGTGGACATCTTTGACCAACCAGCGTATTCTATGCTTAATTCTCTAATCACATTAAATTTAAGTGTTGTTAAGTCTTGACTGTGTTTAGGACCTTGAATGCATTCCATATTACCTAATCTTAATGATTTTGCGTACCTACATCTATATAGCTAACCCAAATATTGAATTGAAATACCTCAAGTGGATTCGACGAATGTGTACTTTTTCTACAATCATAATATACAGACAATAACGATGGTTTTTTAACTCGTTGCCAATATCTTTCATATTGTATGGAAGTTAAGTCATTCAAGATGTTCACCGTTAAATTATTTGACCAGGACATAGTTTTGATTTTGACACAGAATTTATAAGTAAGGTCCTCAGAACCTCCTCAGAAACAGTGGTGGGATGCAAAGTTCACTCTCCATGACATGGATGGGTGTACTTTTAATATATCCTCCAATAATGCGCAGAGCTTTGTTCTGGTCTTGTAAAAAATCTAAGAAGTCTCATTTATATGTTTGTTCCACCTGAGTGATCCATGTAGCCATAATCCTAAGTACATAATAATCTTTTCTGATTCAACTGTGCATTTATTAATTTTTAACTTTACTTGTTTATTTCTACGGCCTCTATTAAAGACACATATTATCTACCGCTTTCTGCAATTCCATTTCGCAGGGGTTAATTTTAATCTTAAGTTGTATATATTTAATTTCGCAGTAGTTTATGTTTTTATCTCTTATATATAAGGCAAAGTCATCGGCGTACTGAGAAATATAAATATAATTGATTTTGTGACATATATCACATGTAGCCATAGATGAGTATACGTACTGACTTATATGTAGCTACAAAAAGCAATGGGGACATAGGATCTCCTTGAGCAAGTCCTCTATTGGTATGCCTCACTTCAGTCTCATTTGTATCGTCCCGTAATCATCGGTTCCCTGTCACTTAAAAAATTACGGATATAGTCACATATTTTTTTACCAACACCTAATTTGTCTAAAATTTTTACAATTAAATCTATTAAAATATTGTTGTATGCGTTTTCAATGTCAAGGAAGCAGGTCACTGTTGGCGAGTTAATTGAGAATCCAACTTGTATGTAACTGACTAATCTTGTTCTCTATCTACACATGATTGAGCTCTTCTAAAGCCAGCGCATGTATTTTGCGATAATAATAATTTATTTTCTATATACCATTCTAGTCGTTTGGATATCATAAGATGGAATATTTTGCTTAAGCAAGACAGAAGCGATATTGGTCGTAATTTACCTTCTACGTCTGTTTCAAAACCAGGTTTAGGTATAGGAACGATTAATATTTTACGCCATTGATTGGGAACTACACCTAATTTGAAAATAGCGTTATACACATTTAATAGAATTTTTTTACCCGACAAAGGCAAATGGTACACCATAGAATATGTAATTCCATAGATGCCTGTGTTTTTTTTGATCGAGCAATACATAATTCTGTGTCTTTGGTAACCACGGCCACGGCCACAGCCACACTCACGACAAAATTGTGTATGTGTCCAGTGATGCCAGCTGGAAAAAAATTTCCCCTTATCAGGGAAGTGCCAAATATTTTTATAGTAATAATAATATGATTTTTATCAACAAAATTATTCCATAATAATCTAGGCCTGAAAATGAATAAAGTCTCCCGAACGATTTCTATCATGGTGGCCAGTCTAACTACGCACTACTCAGGAGATTATATTATAATGCACAAGTCAAGTGTATAAGCGCAAACACAGGTGCACTCTCTGAATCCAATGGAACAGCAGACTCGCCAGACTGATACGACCGGAGGTACAACAGACTCAGGACTAACTTACAGACCAATCTATTAGCGTTTTTTAGGTGTGCTTAGGTGTATCGCAACTAATGATTGTTTACTGTTCAGATTATGGTTTTCCAGTTCAATTCTAGTGTAATGGGTAACACTGTTCTTAATATTATATTATCCACAGTTATCCAACATTTATGATTTATGACTCAATTTAATGACTTTTATTACCTAACTTTATTTTTTGAAAAATCTTTTTAGGGACCAATATTTTTAGACATTGTAACACTGCTTGTGTTTTATTTTCTCCCAACTCTAGCTGACGCTGACAAGCTGACATTCCATTACATTTTATTTTACCGTTGTATGACAGTCTGAGTTGTGACTTGTGGCTAGTGTTTGTGAATCGCGTTCGACGAACTCAAATATTTTGTGATAATGTTTTATCCTAATAGAAGACTTTTACTGCGACTTATTTTAGCAGGCACAATAGTTGTAGTATTGGGCCATAGTCATAGCCACTCGCATGATCATTCTCATGGAAATGAACCACCCGCATTCAAATACTCCAAAAGTGCAAACGAACAATACAAAAGTGAAGAAGTGATAACTGAACCAGATTACGACTTATACGTCAGAGCACTGAGTTCAACACTCTTTATAAGTATAGTGCCATTTTTTATCCTTTTCTTCATACCCATTGATGGGACAGTAGAGAAACAACCGTTACTTAAGATTTTACTGTCTTTCGCGTCCGGCGGTCTTCTCGGCGATGCTTTTCTTCATTTAATACCACATGCGCTAATGTCTAGTGGTGGCACAGGAGGACACAGCCATAGTCACTCACACGACGGCGGAGAACATGAACCCCACGATGTCACTGTTGGGCTTGGAGTTTTAGGAGGTATTATCACTTTCTTAGTGGTGGAGAAAACTGTTCGACTGTTTGATGGAGGACACGGCCATTCTCATGGAGCAGAGAAGAAAAAATCCGACGACAAACAAAAAAAGAAGGCAAAGGATAAAAAGGAAGATATCAAAATTGCTGGATATTTAAACCTTGCTGCGGATTTCACTCACAACTTCACTGATGGACTGGCAATTGGAGCTTCTTATATTGCAGGCCAGAACATAGGTTTAATTACCACTGTGACTATATTTTTGCATGAAATCCCACATGAAATTGGTGATTTTGCAATTCTTGTTCAATCTGGTTGTTCAAGAAGGAAAGCTATGATGTTGCAACTGCTGACAGCATTTGGTGCAGTGTCTGGCACAGTTTTGTCCATATATCTTAGGGGTTCAGGTGACAGTGTTGTATCCTCTCTCATTTTGCCCTTCACTGCTGGTGGTTTTATTTACATTGCCACAGTTTCAGTTATACCTGAACTCTTAGAAGGTTCTAACAAATTCTCACAATCTATCAAAGAGATAGTGGCTTTATTAGCTGGAGTGTACATGATGGTGCTTATTGCACAATATGAATAATCAAATATCTTACTAATTTTGTAAATAAAATACTATATTAAATGTTCTACTTACTGTACCAATAAATCAGTAAACATCACATATTTTTTTTTGTATCCCATTTTTCTTAGTAATGATTGTAAAGTACCTATGTACAGTTTTGATGTTAAGTAAATATTCTGTCTCACTGTTATGAATTTAGGGTATTAGTCTATAATAGAGTGACTATTGTGATGCTATGAATTGTATGTACTGGCTGATACTGTTAGTATTTAGCCAGATCTGATTGTTATAATTGAAAATCTAGTGATTGTTTGATAGTAACTTTAAAAAGTGAGATCAAATGGAGTATCAAATAAAACTTTTGAACTGCAGAAATTATGTTTTTATTGTTATTAGATTACTTCTTCTTAGATACACCAACAGTTCTTCCTCTCCTGCCGGTAGTCTTGGTGTGCTGACCACGCACACGCAGGCCCCAGTAGTGACGCATACCTCTGTGGGCACGGATCTTCTTCAGCCTTTCCAAGTCCTCACGGAGCTTAGAATCCAAGTTGGAAGATGTCAACTGGCTGTATTTACCATCAACAATATCCTTCTGCCTGTTGAGGAACCAGTCAGGGATTTTGTATTGCCTGGGGTTAGACATGATAGTAACAATCTTTTCCACCTGAAAAAAATAACATGCTATTAGATACACTTATATTTCCAAGCAAAAAGTTTCTATGTAAAACTCTGCAAGTGGTTTCACATTTTCTGAATAACATTAACATAAATAACATCACGCTTTTTATCCCCGAAGGGGTAGGCAGAGGTGCACATTATGCCACTGTACAATGAACCACCCACTTTTCACTATTTATGTTATGAGTCCCATGTAATAGGGGGTGAGCCTATTGCCAAATACCGGTATATACCATTTTCTGAATAGACACAAATATATAGCTGAAGGGTTTGTTATAAGTCATGTCCGGAACACTGGTTTGAAATAAATCTTTTAATATCGAGGACAGCATATTAAACACATTTATGCTATAAACACCATGCTGGGATCAATAGGAGCCGAAAAGCAGGTGAAACCGCATAGAAATATCTAGTTTTAAATTAACTGAAAAATATGCCAATAACAATAACAAGGTTTTAGGTTTTATACTATAATGATTGATGACTTGTACATTAGATGTAGGTACACCAGTATCAATGTATGTATACATTATAACAACAAACATAGGACGATATCTATATAATAAACATATTAACTCTAAAAATATTTTTAAACTGTCAAGCACCAAGCGGTCACCGGTGACCGCAACCTATTGTTCTATAATTGTGTCTACAAAACCGGTACTCGACGAGTTAATATCGGTGAATTTAGATATCACTGCAACTAAAAATCAACCAAAAACGTACCTCTTCTTCAGTGCATTCTCCAGCACGTTTGTCAAGATCAATATCGGCTTTCTTTAATACGATATTGGAGTATCTGCGTCCAACACCCTTGATAGCAGTCATAGCAAACATAACTTTGCGTTTGCCATCAATGTTCGTATTCATAATACGAAGAATATGTTGGAACTTGTCTGGAATTACCAGCGACTGAAATAAAACATACACTCGTTTTAAATACGCCGATTATAACAAAATATAGTATAAATTCACACTACAAGTATTAGAACAGTACAATCGAGCACTTAAATTTAATTTTCAACCCATGATTATTTAAAAAATTCAAGATTATTACCATTTTTATAAATATTGGTTAGCAAATCCACCACTAACAACAGAGGTTCATGGGGTAAAAGAATGACATTGACAGATCCGCACTTCACAATGACAATATAGAATAGTTCAGGAAATCGGAGTTGCTACTAAAAAAAATCTGTCTAAACTCTATGGTAACTACAAATTAACATGAAAAAAAAGCATCTGAATTCACCAACTATATAGGTTTATAAAAATAAAATAGTCTACTCATAAGGGGTCAAAATAAGAGATGATAATATATATGTATAAGTAAAATAATCAAAGTTTTGATTATTTTAGACAAGGGTCTTAAACACTTTTTAATACCTTGCGTAAATGAAATAAATATGTGTTTCAGGAATTTAGAAAATTTTACTTGTAAGGGAATAGAGGTTGAAAGTTTGTATGAGACTTGCATAACTTTTTATCTGAGGAACCCTAAATTTTTTATTTATACCAATAATTTAAGAGAAGTACATATATTATATATTGAGACCTTTAGAGATAAAATAAGGGTTGGAAAATAATTTATTTTCATGTAAGCAAGGAAGGAACGTACGCTTAGAAGTAAGATCTATTTTGATGGACTAAAAGTTTTTGTCACTATTTACCTACTAGGCTTCCACCCAAATAATATGTGACAACTGACAACATTGACTGTGTAATTATGTTTTTTACAACTAGTAACATTTTATCAATGAGTGTTCTTCCGTCGGTGGTGTGCCGGTTTCTAATTTTTACATTTTCCCGTTTTATTATCTAAAGTTTTGAAGAAACAGTGTGAACAATGCATACAGAAACGACATTAACACTTATACAAATATTAGAAAAGACTGTATCACCAGGTAAGAAATCACATTTTGTCGTCTTATGTTCGTGTATGGCGCTTCAGGTCGTCAACCGACTTATCATTTAGCTAACGTAACTGTTTTAAAAAATGTATTTGAGTGCAACAGTGTTTGCAAAGACTTTAAGTTATAGGATTGTGTGAATTTAGGTTCTTCATTAAACTAAATAGCCGTTGACGACAGAATGTGGATGACAAAGATGCCTAGCTGTCATGTAAGGAAAATTCTAGGTTCACCTACAATTCAAGATTTACAATACGCGGCAATGGTGTTCATAAACAATTGACACTTTGACACGCATCTTAAATATTTTTACTCAATATCTCTGCTGGATTTATTGGTGCCTGGTACTGTTCTCTTCAAGGTTTGAAGGTTATAATTTGTAATCCTGCACATTTGACATTCCATTCATGTTAGCAATCAGTTTTATTAGTATATCAATAATTTGATAAAATTATAATTACATCTTAGTATGTGGCATAATGTTACCTTATTCATTTAATAAGGTCAATTATAGACACCAAGTATAATTTTCAATTGGTGCTTAGTTTTATATTCTAACATTTATATTATTTTCGTAGTCTATATAAAGTATGTTGACTACAACATCTACTCAAGATTCGCCACTGTCCTAAAACAATCATAATCAATAATTATGATCAAATGTTTTCAAAATAAAACTTATTTAGATCAAAACCGATTCTAAAAATTTTGTATCAAACTGTCATACACCGAGCGGTCACCGGTGACCGCAACCTATTGTTCTTTAATTGTGTCTATAACGACGGTACTCAACTAGTTAATTAATGAAATCATAGTAAATAAAAAGTCAATCCAATTATGACAACATATAGGGAACAAAGAATATGTAAAAAAGAATACTCTAATTACTAATATTTTTCAAACTAAATAATTTATTGAGAAGTTGTACTTGGGGATTGAGCAGTCCAATGCCCAAGTGGTCACCGATGACCACTCTCCACTAACTCCATTATAGACCTTATTTCCAAATTTAGAGACTACTTTTGTATGAACATGTTTTTGGAGTTTTCGTTATGATATTTAAAAATATTACGGTACTGGCTAATATTTTAATAATGATTAAAAAATCTTGATTCTTTATGGGATAAGCTGGTAAACGAGCAGATGGATCACTTGATCCATCCATTGATGCCATCCATCCATCCATGATGATTGCTCCACCATCAGTTGATGGTGGAGCACTTGGCGTTGCCTATAGACAACTGGAACACCAGTGCAGTAACAAGTGCATTACGGGCCTTTTAGGGATTAGGAGTTTGGGGATTGTTGGTGATTCAGGGATGGAGATAGGGGGGACGGTAATTGGGCCTCTGGTAACCTCACTTACACAACAAATTACAACATAAGTGTTGTTTCATGTAGTTTTCTGTGAGGCCTTAGTATCACTCCAGTTTACTTTACCCATAGTCTAATTTGTATTTAACTTAATTTTACAGATCGAAATGAATTGGAAGCTGCAGAAACCTACCTTGACCATGCAGCTGTTACCAATTTTACAACATTTATCAAAATGTTGTCTGATGTCCTGGTTGCGGGAGGAAACAGTCAGGTGGCTAGGATGGCTGCAGGTTTACAGCTGAAAAACCACCTTACCTCTAAGGATCCTACACTAAAACAACAGTACCAACAAAGGTGGCTAGCTCTTCCTGAGGACATCAGATTATATATTAAGAAAAATGTATGTATATTTATAATTTAACACTTGGAGTACATTGTTAAAGCAACAACTAACGGAAAGAAATTGTTCTAGATTCTAACAGCAATTGGAACTGAGAATAGCAGGCCTAGCTCAGCTGCTCAATGTGTAGCCTATGTAGCAGTGGCAGAACTTCCTGTAGGACAGTGGAATGATCTGATACCCATCCTTGTAGAAAATGTTGTTAATGCTCAATCTACAGAACTTAAAAAAGAAGCAACATTAGAAGCAATTGGTAAGTACCTATTTATTTACGCTTATACACTATTTGTGTTAATAAACAAACTCCACAACACTAATGTTACAATAATGCTTTTCAACAACTACAACTTTGCTTTTCAGGTTACATCTGTCAAGAAATTGATGCAGAGGTCTTGACGGAACAAAGCAACCCCATTTTAACCGCTATCATTCATGGAATGAGATCTATTGAAACCAGCAACCATGTTCGTCTTGCTGCCACCCAAGCTTTACTAAATTCATTAGAATTTACAAAAGCCAACTTTGATAAAGAAAATGAAAGGAATTTCATAATGGAAGTTGTATGTGAAGCCACACAATCAAGTGACATGAGAATTAGTGTTGCAGCTCTTCAATGCTTAGTTAGTATCACAATAATTTTTTCTGTAAAATAAAATAAAAAATTATACTTTTTTATTTTAAAAGTAATTATAACCTAGTTTTTACTAAATACAGACTAATAAAACGAATTTGTATTTTAGGTCAAAATTCTCTCTTTGTACTACCAATATATGGAACCTTATATGGGTCAAGCACTATTTCCAATCACTTTAGAAGCTATGAAATCTGATGTTGATGAAATTTCACTTCAAGGCATTGAATTTTGGTCTAATGTTAGTGATGAAGAAATTGATCTTGCAATTGAAGAAGTGGAGGCAGCTGAAGCAGGTAAGTCACAAAATTACATAACTTAGAACAGGACCTAGGTTTTCTTTAAAATATTCTGTTGAAGTGTAAAAATATCTCATTTTTCTGACTTTCCACAGGACGACCACCAGCTCGTACTTCAAGATTTTATGCTCGAGGTGCCTTGCAATACCTTGCACCTGTCCTTATGCAAAAATTAACCAAACAAGATGATACAGAAGATGAATTAGAATGGAATCCATCTAAAGCTGCATCCGTTTGTCTCATGCTTTTATCAAACTGCTGTGAAGATGAAGTTGTTCCCCATGTACTACCCTTCATCAATTCTAATATTAAAAACGAAAATTGGAGGTATAGAGAAGCTGCTTTGATGGCCTTTGGTTCAATTCTTGGTGGACTTGAAGCAAATACTCTGAAGCCATTAGTGGAAAAGGCTATGCCAACTCTAATCGAAGCCATGTATGACTCTAGTGTGGCTGTGCGAGACACAGCTGCTTGGACATTTGGAAGAATTTGTGAAATAGTTCCTGAAGCTGCTATTAACGAAACCTATCTGAAACCACTTTTGGAAAGTCTTGTCAATGGACTGAAAGCAGAGCCACGTGTAGCTGCTAATGTTTGCTGGGCTTTTACAGGACTGGCAGAAGCTGCCTATGAAGCAGCTGATTGTGGAGATTCCAATCAACCTAAAACCTATTGCATGTCAAAATACTTTGATTTTATTGTTCAGCGGCTTCTTGAAACTACTGATCGCCAAGATGCAGCACAACATAATTTGAGATCAGCTGCATATGAGGCTCTTATGGAAATGGTCAAGAACTCTCCCACTGATTGTTATGTAACAGTGCAAAAAACAACTATGGTTATTTTGGAGAGACTCCAACAAGTATTACAAATGGAGAACCATATCTCCAGTCAAGCTGATCGTTCACAATTTAATGATCTCCAGAGTCTGTTGTGCGCTACACTGCAGTCTGTACTCCGCAAGGTAACTCCAGAAGATGCCCCACAAATATCAGATGCAATAATGACTGCTCTGTTGACTATGTTTGCTGGCAATGCGGGAAAAGCTGGTGGAGTTCAAGAAGATGCTTTGATGGCAGTCTCAACACTGGTTGAGGTGTTAGGAGAAGGCTTCCTTAAATACATGGATGCTTTTAAGCGATATCTATATGTTGGGCTCAAAAATCATCAAGAATATCAAGTTTGCATAGCAGCTGTTGGACTCACTGGGGACATCTGTCGCGCATTGAAAAGTAAAGTAAGTATATTTTGTGTTCTTTTCTAGTGAACTTGAAATATAAAAAAAATTAAATTAATATCCAAAAAAAATTTTACAGGTGCTGCCATACTGTGACGAAATTATAGTGTTGTTATTGGAAAATCTTGGAGATCCATCAATTCATCGATCTGTAAAACCACAGATTTTATCTGTGTTTGGAGATATTGCCCTAAGCATTGGTCCCGACTTTGCTAAGTACTTTGATGTGGTGATGCAAATGTTGTTGCAGGTATATAATATGTTTAATGTTATGGTTTTTGTAACCGTTTAAGTATGGTTGATCTACTACTAATAACCTGGCACGGCAAGATCTGTAGTGTAGTAGTAGTTACACAAATCCAATGTCAATAGGGAATAGCTATCCCTATTGATATTGGATTTGTGTAACTTGTGAAAATTTGTATAAGGTGCACCTCTGCCCACTTCTTCAATTATTAAAAGGCGTGAATTTACGTGCTAAATATGTGTTCCACTAAAGACAAAAAATGCTGGGCAACCCACTTGTTGAATTTTCGAGATACATTTACTTCTGAATGATGCTTTCGTAAATTTCATTTGCACTTAAGTACTTTTTTATATTACAGGCCAGCAATGCTCAAGTAGATCGTAATGATTACGATATGGTCGAATATTTAGGTGAGCTTCGCGAAAGTGTGCTGGAGGCTTATACTGGCATAATCCAAGGCTTGAAAGGTTCTACTGGTGAGGTATGTAATATTTAAATATGTATTTGTCAAATTAAATATTTTTGTTTATAGATTTTATAAATACCTTATCATGTTAATGAAACAGATATTTAGTATTAGTACCTACTAACTAATTTACACCATAATCATAAAATAATCATTTATACGCGCTGGATTTTAAAATTTCCTCTTTCATTTAGGTGAGATCGGATGTGGCGCTCGTGGAACCACACGTGCCGGCCATCGTGACATTCATGATGCAAGTGGCCTGTGAGGCCGAGCGCACGGACGGGCACATGTCGGTGATCGCGGGGCTGACGGGCGACCTGTGCACGGTGTTCGGCCAGCGCGTCCTGCCGCTGCTGGAGACTCGGCCCCTGTTGGACTTGCTGCAGGCCGCTCGACGCTCCCGCACTCCTCGCACCAAGGCACTTGCAAATTGGGCGACTAAGGAAATACGCAGACTCAAGCATCAAACGCCTCTTACTAGCTGGTATGTAAACTTCTTGCTCTTATCTAGGTTGAATTTTGATAATTTAAAAAGGTGTTAAAACCCTAGATTACAGCAAATTTTTAAATTGAAGTCACTGCTATCAATATTCATATTCACATAATGAACAACATTCAATCAACATAATAGCTGTTACATAATAATTTATGAATAAGACAATATAGAGTAATTTTTGGAGACTAAGGAAAATATTAAATATTTATATTTTCATTTCAGATTTGAACCTGTTCTAAAACTTCTACGTGAAACAATGCAGCTTGAGATAATTTGCCGCTGGTAAACTCAACTGTGTTGGCAGGCATATTATGTCCATATTAATAAGTCGTTAGGTGCATTTGTTAGAGGCCTGTATTATTTCAATGTATTGCCAACATTTTATAAAGTAGTTATCTCGTGTTCATAGGCTTATATAGCCTTTATGAGTAATTAATATTCAAGTATGTATTGTACATCTATTATATTACATAATATATGAATATTTCTCTACTTTAGTAACATGTTACCATTACTGTAGCATAGTAACATCCATTGCTTTATTTTATTTAATGAGCATTGTACCATGACAAAACAGTCTGTTAAATTTATTGTAACCAGTAACAAAGTCAAAAATGGATGAATGTTTATGAACTAGTAAAATTGTATTATGTTAACTGATATTTTGCATATAAGAAAAATGCTAATATAATTTGTAATGGCTTTTTCTTAAAATCACCTAGTGATTTTTGGCCCCAAACAATGCACTTAGCGTAGCATTATTTAAACTTTAATATATGTGCCTGACCATAATTTTCCATAATTATTATCTTAAAGTTGAAGCATTTTTCCTATTTGGTATTATAAATACAGACAGTGGCTGTGGTATCTTTACTTATGTGAGATAAAGTGATAGTTTGAAAGAGATTGTGTGAAAGGTGACGTATGTTATTATAGGCATGCACATGTGCAAGGGATTATGAATTTTATAAATTATTATTATGTTTTGTAAGATGTATGAAAGATTTTATGGATGGATAGGAATGCATGTGTAGATGCGTGCATGATTATCTCAGATATTTTATAAACTTAGGCATTGTCGATCATAATGGAAATTCGGTATATTAATGTATGTTTAAGATTCCGTCGACATTACTAGAGACTGAAGGACGCCATATTGGCGACGATTCTTTTTTTATTCATCGCAATTCAAGTCAAATATGAAAATATTTCATAAAAAGGTATAGGAAAACGTTTCATCAATAAACTTACATGACGCCCTATAGAAATGAACTAGAAAACGAAATATTTTGGCACTATTGTTAGAGTCGCCTGTTAAAAGAATTTGCTATATAATAATATTAGAAGTATAACTTTGGTTAACCGATCATGTAGTGTACCCAAAACTACATTTCTGGTTATTTTATCTCTCACACTATTTATTGTATTGGCCTACTGTCTTAACATTAACTGTTGGTATAACTTAATGTAATCGTAATCTTTACAAATGATTCTCTATGGTGTCAAATGGTTTTTATAAAGGCTTAGGCAGATTTACGACAGGTAAGCGACAAAATATTCGCGTCACCGGCAAATGATGTAAACGGTTGCTTTTAAAAGATCAACGTTAGAGGCCACTAAATAGCTATTAAAAAATAATAAGCTTGCCTATCTCAAAAATCTCAATCTTCCTTTGTGATGAATAAAAAGTGTCCTTGCCTTCTGATCTCAATATCACATTATTGTACATATGTAATTAAAACTTTTTTTTCTTATGTGTTAAAATGGCAAAACCTTAAAGACCAAGCAGACCATTTGTTGAAATAACACCTATGGGCTGATGATATTGCCATAATATTGATGCTTTTCGTTGACCATAATGATATTCACAATTATCAAATTTCAAAAGGGGTATCTTCACTAAATATTTATTTTCGTATCGTATTGTTTACTTTTATAAAGTGATCTTAAATGCAGTACATTTTAAATAAGTAGGCAGAATGTTTTCTTTAAATTTTACGTTAAAAAGTTAAAGCCTTACAAGACACTTTTGGCTATCACATTCGGCAACGAGCAGGTTTGTTGCCGTTATCGTGACCTTATCATATCATAAACACTATGAGGCCGCCGATATCATGTCGTTGTCGACTAACTCAAAGCTTGACTCAGTTCGAATTATAATGTTGAAATACATGACATGATATTAATTTTGCTGCCTCTGGTACGCGCAATCGCTTGTTGTTTATTCAAATATCTATTTTGTCTTACTTTGTCGATCAAACTTGCTCTTAGACAAATGTACGATAACTTAATCTAACTCGCTGTTATCAATGTTTAGTCCAGTTTCAAAACTCGTGACTAATATTTTAACCAATTCGTTCCGTTTTTACGGATAGAATTCTTTTTATACTCTTCTGGTTTAGGACTTAAGTGTGATAACTTAAGCATGAAAATACCCTTAATGTTATTTAATTTCAATGTTGACTTGTTGAGTGTCTGCTAGTCTGTGAGCATCACTGATAGGATTGATGTTTGCGCGAATTATGCAAGAATTTACTACGTGAAGTGTGTCATTAGTACCGATTACTTGTTTTACTTTATACATAATACAATATATATTTGAAAAAAATATCATTTGGATAAAAATAAATCAGAAAAAGTATTCCAAATGTCATACAAGTTACGTATGTACTTATATTTAAGTATGATAGGAGAATATGTGAGGACTAGTGCCATGCCATGAAAGGTTCTGAATTAGAATCATAGGCATCGAGTCAATGAATACCACCCACTTTTCCTGCGCGAATCTAAAATCAATTAGTTGTTTTGTTACGGCGTATATTTTCATTCGTTTTGACTATTACTATCTGCTACTCTGTAAACTGTTCTATGGTGATTAAACTATTTAGAAGTTAAATTGTGTATTATTTATATTTACTCTTCTATTTAAAAAATAAACATTTTTGTAAAACGATTCTGATTGATATATAATATAATTATACCTTATACCAGTATTTTAATACTGGTATAAGGTATAATTCAGATTCAATTAAAACCTTTACAAATAATTGTAGGTGTCTTTTTTAGATACCTAATACGGAATGCTACGAGTTCCATAACTGTGTGTATATCGTATTGTCAATACCTAGTAGCCTAGTAGGGAATCCTTACACATAACGGGCGACAAGTGTGTGTTACACTTCATGTTCACTTTTATCCGTTCGAAGAACACGAGGCATTTTGTCTGATATACTCATGCAGCAAATACTCACCCGAACTGATACAAGTATTATTATCTGTTAGACTGCCTACCCACAGCGTAGCTTCTTTGGGGTTACCGTACCCAAAGAGCAACGGCAACCGTATTACTAGAACACTAGAAGACTCCGCTGGCCGTTGGTCCATCCGTCAGTTACCAATTTGAAATTTTGACAAACGGAAATGGTGGATTTCTGCTACCAAATACTAAAAAGAAACCAATTAAGTACCTATTTAAACAGGGCTCCCATACAACAAAGTTGATGCTGTTTATTGTATTGAAAGACGAATGGTACGGAACCGTTCGTGCGCAAGTCTGGCTTTTGCTAGTTTTTCTTATAGAATAGGTCAGCAAACATGCAAAAGGATCAATCAACTGGTAAGCAATCGGCGCCGTCAAGATTACGACAATTACAAGAGGAGTTACAAGTGCGCTGTGCTGCCGGACATTTGGAAATGGAGGAATTTGGCCACTGATAACCTCACACAATGCAAGCATTACGTTGCTTCTGACAAATTTTCTTGTGAAGCCGTGGTTTCGCTCGGATCGAACCGGCCGATTATTGCCATGACGAGTGGTGTTAGATCACTTAATATCTCTAAATTACCAGATGTTAAATGATATAAGTATGAATGTATAACAAAACATATCGTAGTGTGTAGGTACACTGGGATTTTCTCCTGTTTCAGGAGCCATTTACAAACATGCAAATTCATACACGGCTACACTGCACATTTGGTAACGGATCTACAATTTGTAGATCGCATAAATATTTTTAGTGCAGGAATCCCGCGTATACAATACAATACTTGCGTAGCATTGCCATTGCCCCACTGCGCTAAGGAACTATGCAGTCAGTGCTTGTGAATCCTGAGAATCGAAATTAGATACTTAGCTTCTTTGAAATATCTTTTGAAAAAAGATATTATCCCCTATTGTGTGTAAATCACAAGATCTTTTGGGATTGACTGCACGGTTGGTGCGGTGGCTGGGCAACTGGCTGCCGCGCAACGTGTCGCGGGTTCAATTCTCGTACGGAGCAACTCTTTGTGTGATCCACAGATTGTTTTCGGGTCTGGGTGTCACTGTCATGTGTATGTGAACTTGTGTTTGTAAACGCACCCACGATACAGGAGACAATCCTAGTGTGTGGTAACATTAAAAATAATAAAAAGATCGATAGATAACAATTATCATTTGCGATGTCTGTGTGTAGTTGAGGATGGTCCTCATGATGCCTATTATGTGTGTCTTTACCATTCACGGTACCACAGGGTCCTGGTCATTTGGGAAGCGTACGAGGGCCCGAAGCGAAGAGAATTTAGACAACTTTAATCTAAATCTAATCATGTAATGGACACACATTCATGATTCCTATTATTATTATTATTAGATGATCAAAGCGTAATCAAAGGAAAAAAGTGTTTAGACTCTATCACTCTACAAGTCTACAATCACCAAACTAGGCAGCTCCAGACTAGTCACTGCCCAATATCAACCTACAGACAGTGATGTACCTAGTGATATCTCTACCACAAAAACGACCCATTAATTTGACTTGACCGTTATTCGAAGCTTATTTAATTGAGATAGGCCTTCCGCTTCCCTCCTTCCGCTTTTCCTGTATGTCTATCTCTTTCTACTACGTCACTTCCATTTGGCAGTGGTGGGGAGGCTTGCTAAGAGAGACTCGCCATTTTTATTTCATTGGCGTCTTG